AAGAAACGATGCCTCATGCACCACTGCACCAACAACATCACGTTGGAGACTTAGAAATTAAGAAAAAAAAGAAGTATTTCATTTTCTCTTCTTGTTGCATCTTTCGACTATCGAACTCTTGTGACTCTATGATTGTAAGTCTTCGTTTTTTGATAAAAAATTCAATGTTCGAAGATACTGTTGTAATTTTTTGACTTGTTCAGCTGTGAATTAGGTTGTAAATTTTTGGGAATTTATTAGTCCTTTTTTATTGTTTCTAAAAATTGACCCTAAGTCTAACCCTTTTATGAAAATTAGTATTTTCCTTCTTTCTTCGTCTTCTTTTTTTTTTTTTTGATATCTATTTGGTTAGTATAGTAAAATAAGATTTATAATGCGAAAAGGGTGGGAGAACGATAAAGTAAAATTTATAGCTAAAGTGTGTCTACCCTAGGACTATATTCTTGGCTCTACCGGTGCAAGCTCTTGAAGGTTGTAATCTTGTATTATTACAATAATCAACATATTATAATTTTTGTTGTCTAATCTAATTTTTTTTATCATGCTTCCTTTCATTACTATTATTCTCAAAAGTGATGCATTTGCATCTTACTACATATATAGTATATTGTGATGATTTTAAAAAGCTTTTTTTTTTTTTTGGAATCTTATGATTTATTGCAAATGATGGTGCTCGGAAATAATGGTCTAAGCCCAGATCTATATTTGGGGATTTCAGTTAGGGGATTTAGTGGATAAACGGGTCCGAAAAGAGATCAAACTATGAGAAAAAAAAACAAAAACAATATGTAAGTGGTTCACCTGAACTGAGGGACTATGATTATGTTCACTGTAAGAGAGTCTCTTGCACCTTGAGGGTATATATTTCTTAAAGAGGATTGTTACAGTAATTCTGCTTGGCCTTGAAACTTTACAAGAGAAGTTTTTATGAATACAAATTGCCAAGAAAGGCTAGTAACAGATGCTGAGGGGAAGACAATGAATCTCTCTTTTACAATGTAATAGTGTCCTATTTATACAAATGATCTCTCACCTGTTTGATCACTAGCTGAGAGTCGTTGTGGACTATGATCTGTTGTGCGTATATTGACAAGGCTATGTTTAAGCCTGCTATGAGGGCCTCATACTCCGCCTTGTTATTGGATGCTTGAAAATTGAACCTCAAAGCGTATGCCAGGTCATACCCCTCGAGCGAGGTCAGGATCAAGCCAACCCCGCTTCCTTGGGCATTTGATGCTCCATCTACATACAATTTTTAGGTCGGGACATCAGGGATGCAGTCTTGGTTTTCTCTATTCTCTTCAGGTGGTGAAGTAAATTCGGCAAGGAAATCTGCTAGGACTTGTCCCTTGATCGTTATTCTAGGCTTGAACTTGATGTCGAATTCACTAAGTTCCATTGCCCACTTCACAAGTCTCCTAGAGGCCTCAGTCTTGTGCAGGACCTGCCTTATCAGCTAGTCCATTGGGATTTCAATGGTTTGTGCCTAGAAGTATGACCTTAACCTCTGAGCTGCTACTAAGAGGGCTAACACGAGATTCTTCATCTTTGGGTACCTTTCTTCGACCCCCCTGAGGGCCTTGCTACAGAAATAAACGGGTTGTTGAACTCTTTCCTTATCCTTTACCAAGACGACGCTGACTGAAAAGTCTGACACGACTAGGTAGAGGGTTAGAACCTCTCATTCCTGAGGACTCACAAACACCGGCGACGAAACCAAATAGGCCTTGAGAGCTTGGAAAACCTCTTCACATTTCTCGTCCCATCGAAAGGCTGCCTTCAGGATCTTGAAGAATGATTGACACTTGTCACTGGAGCGCGAAGCAAACTGATTGAGCACCGTTATTCTTTCGGTCAAGCATTGTACTTCGCAAGTGCTGGTGGGGGACTTCATTTCAAGGAACGAATTTCACCTTTTCGGGTTTTCCTCAATACCCCTACTATTGACTATAAAGACCAAGAACTTTCCTACCGATACCTCAAAGGTGCACTTCGTTGGGTTTAACTTCATCTTGTACTGTCGCATAATCTCGAATGCCTCCCTGAGGTGCTGAATATAGGATTCCGCTTTAAGAGACTTCACAAGCAAGTCGTTTATATATACCTTCATAGTTGAGCCGAGCTTTTCACGAAACATTCTACTGACCAGCATCTGATAGGTGGCCCTAGCATTCTGGCAACAAAAGTGGTCCCCTTGTCCCCTAGACACATGGCATGACGGAGGGAATTTGGGGTAATCAAGGAACCGAGCTCTTGAGCTCTGAACTAGTCGTCTACCGAGCTAAATTGGGTTTGTGTTGGATTCCTAGATATCTGGAGTCGCTGAGCTTTCTTCCTTGTGGCCCAATTTGCCTTTTGAACAAGCAGGTGGGCTGTTTGGGAGGTTTTACAAACAATGGCCCTTCGAGCAAATTGGGCTTTTTGATTGGGTGACCATGTCAAAATCCCATCATTATCAACAAGCATTTTAGACCAAAAAATTGTTATGTGGGAAATCTCATTTAATATACTTTTGAACGACTGAAAATATGTTTTACCACTTAAACAACCTCACAAGTAAAAAACAAAAGTCCCTAATCCTAGGGCATGTTAGTTTGGGGATTAAATATGGGTGATATTAGAAATATATTTTTTACATTTTCAATATCAACGAAAATTAGTACCGGAAATAGAAGTATTACAATCTCTTCTCATGTTTGTTTGTTCAATAGGTACTATGGTGAGTCTCACAAATGACCATCTATTATATCATATCGTATATAACAAATATATTATTTTACCATTAACACCATTCATTCCATTACTCCATTTGTGTAACGCTTTTGCACAATATTTGATATAATACATGATATAACAATCTGTACCTAAAAAATTCTGGATAATGTTAAAAAAAATTTTAAAAAAAAAATCGGTGACACCGTATGCTTAAACATAATACAAGAAAAAAAATTCAAAATAATTTTAAAAAAAAATTAAAAAAAAAAAAACCATTAACACCGTACGCTTAAACATAATATAAGGAAAAAATTCAAAATAATTTTTTTTAAAAAAATTATAAAAAAAAACGGTGACACCATATGCTTAAAAGAAAAAAATTCAAATTATTTTTTTTAAAAAAGTAAAAAATAAAAAAAAAATCGATAACACCGTACGCTTAAACATAATATAAGAAAAAAATTCAAAATAAATTTTTTATAAGTGAACTCTTGACAGAAGAGGGCATTTGTCTCATTTTTTCTCTTAACCAGGTAGTTGATATTCATTAATACCATGTACAAGATTTAACGGACACTGTACAAACCGAATTGGTATTAAAATCCAAAAAATAATATTGCGTGTAAAATATCAAATAAACAAGGTAATAGAAGGATTGTATGTACTATTTCCCTCTATTCCACCCTATAATACCATTTACTCCCCCAAACAAACATGCCCCTGTAGTAAAAATTTTATACAAAAACACTTTTCTGTTTCACATCCACCAACACCGTTAGAGTTGTCGAATTATCACCACTACTCTTATCACAGCATCCCCGTCGTCATTGCTACCATCACTACCACCACCACCATTGTCATCTTACCACTACTATAGCCAGCTCCACAAATACCACTGGTTTTAAAAATTTATATAATAAAACATATAGCAACTTAAATTTTTATGTCCTATATATTATTTTTCTTAAAAACATCACATCACTCATTTTTATCACATGTTTAATCATTTAATATTTGATTAATTTTTGTTTCAAACATTATTCATATATGATAATATACACATGTTAAAAAAATTTAATATAATGAAATCGATTTTTTGATTGTTTGAATTTAATGATTTATCTTACCTTCAGGAATGATTCAGGAACGAATTATGACTAGTATTTATATATTTTGCAATTAGGGTATATTAGTAATTGTAATACATGTAAGTACTTTTTTATCGACCATGCAAATACATTTTTTCATAAATTTCTTTGTATTAAAGTGATATTTTATGAGAACATCCAAACAATATTTATTTAACATATATATATATATATATATATATATATATATATATATATATATATATATATATATATTACATAAAAAATACAAAAAGCAAATTTAAAAAAAAAAATACCAAAGAAAAGGCGATGGATCAAATTTTGCAGCCGTGGCTCAATGGCCTCGGCCTTTGCTGCTAGCGCAGCTTTTAGCTGCGGGCTAAGTGTTGCCATCCTACGTGTGCATTACACATGGTCCTGTTCACCATAGACCTGTGGCAAATAGGAACACCAGTCAAATATCAAAACATGACTTGAGTCACGGGATCAGACAAGAAACTCCATCTATCCGCTCTAAATCAAACTGAGTCTTATATTCCAATCATTTAAAATTGACTATATGAATCCGTCTTTGCCATTTATTTCGTTCATGTACTATACGCTTGTTTAAGTTAAATATTTTTTACCTATCGATTCTGCCATATAAAATAGAACCCATCTTTTTTTCATACTCAAAAAGAAGAGAAGGAGACAAAGCCAAAGGTATGACCATATTACAAACACATTTAAGTCCGCTTCGCTTCCATTGAAGGGTCTTGCTGTAAACTTCATTTTTCCACCTTCAAGTCAAGTTGTGGAGCTCAGTTGATGCAGGAAGTATCCACCGAATGCAAGAGACTGTTTTATCAGTTATAATCCAAGCATATCCATTCACTCATCATTCCCAACCTCGGTGCAAATCGTACCATATCCTGATACATAGAATGATATGTACATGTGCTTGATTGCGATAGTCCTGAATAGCAAAGCATGTCAACCTTTCTTAAAATCACATCAAGCACTCGTATATTTCAGCATTGTACTTCAAGTTCAGAAACTGTAGTATTACTCCATCAGAATGCAACCCCTGAACTTTCCAAATTTCGAACCTTTCGGATTGTTGAAAGAGTCATGCACATCATTTGCATGTGTCCCGTTGTGTGGGCAGATAAGGGTTGATCAAGAGATATCTGACATCATTAAGCACGAAAAGAAGGGGAAAACATAACAATAACACTAGTTATATTACAATGTGTATCATGTCTGTTGAAGAAAGTAATGTGAATTTCACATTTCTCAGTAGTAGATGTACATAATTTGAATTCAATCCTAGGAAAAGGGGTTAAGAAAGATAAAGACAATCAAGGAACACGCCTGCAAACCCCTGATACATTTCTCAAATTAAGCTTTCTTATGGATGAAGATTGTGAAGCCAGTTCAGGTTGATATCTTCTTTTAGCACATTTATCTTCAGATTGGTGAGGTAACACTCGTAAGGTTCCCAAAGGAAGGCAGCCTCTTCATCGCATACCACAGTTTTTAACTGTTCAAGGTCCATTACTGATGGTGGCAACTCATCTAATCCCCGGCAACCTCTCATGTGTAGCATTCTCAGTTCGCACAACTCGCCCATTCGCATGGGCATGTTGCTCAATTTTGAACAATCAGATATATCAAGTAATCTTAGTTTCTGGAGGTTTCCAACCGACTCTGGTAACACTGTCAATTTCTTACAAGAATTAAGCCTCAAGACTTCCAAATTTGTTAGCTTTCCAATTTCTTGGGGAAGTACACATAACTCATTACAGTAAGTGATTTTGAGTTTCCTAAGGTGGATGATATTGCAAAATCCTGAAGGGAATTCCACTAAATCATCACAACAATCAATATCAATCTGGACCAGATTTGGCCATATATGGGGGACCTCAATGGTACACTTATCAAAAGCTTTCCCAATCTCACACATAATAAAGGATATTTTCCTCAAATTCTTCAGCTCATATATAGATGTACCAAGGGAAGAAATTGAAACATGTTCTAACCTGATTCTCCTTAGATTGGACAAATAACCAAGCAAGGGCAAGTTATTCAGTTCAGCTGAACCAAAACCATAGTTTGTAATAATCAGAACCTTCAGTTTGTGCATTCTCCCCATGAACTGGGGTAAAGTGAATTTCCTAATCCGGAAATTCAGTATTAGGACTTCAACTTCAGGCACATGTAGGTCGTACCAGCTTGAAGAAAATGTTTCATCTGCAATCAACATCTAGAGCATTGATAATCGCAGAAGGGATTAAAACACCAAACATTGCGCATGAGGTTTTATATGCTTCTTAGAGAAAACTAGATAAGCAAACCTGTAGAAATAGACAAAAGATTGGAATGTATGGGTTGCTGCAGTTGTTCAGTCCACCACCTAGGAAGGTTATTAGCACTTATGTCCAGAATCACTCTTGATCTCTGTTCTATGGATTCTCGGCTACTCTCATAAATAGCCAGCTCTCTCAGTAGGTCATGCTGCATGACAAATTGCTCATTACAGTAGTCATCAACCTCACTTGCATCTTTTCTGTGAATGAAAATTCAATTGGTTGGTCAGGGAGGGGGCAAAGTCCATTTCTACACATGATTTGCAATGCATATTCTGTTAATAACGAGGTCAGTCAACAATCCATGAAACAAATGGCATCAAGGATAGATAAACAGTCATTGAAAATTTTGAAAAGTCCAAGTATTCTTGCCGTTTCCCTCTTGTTTAATTTCCTGTTAAAGTTAGATTTCATAGTATAATTTTGTCAAAAACTGCAAAGAAACACAAAATCTTGGTTTTGAGCAGAGGTCTACTAGGCTGCATAACACTGGTATTCTATTTAGCTATAAATTAAGCTGCAAGGTGAAACGAAACAGCGCCAAAATCATTGATCAGAAAAAAAAAAATGTATCAATATCACATCAATCCTGTTTTTCCATTGATCTCTGCCATAGATCGACTATTCAGTGAGACAATCTGTCATGAAGTATTTTCTCACTACTTCAACTAACATTCTTTTTGCCAATTCTTCTATCCACCCACCCTAACCACCTTAAATGAGTTCCTCTCACAGTGTGGTTAACTTATGCTACCTCCACTTCTTGGTAAATGCAGTCACATCTTACTCTTCTTAGCATTAAGGACATGCACAAATTAGCGTGCATAAACATAATAACAAGAGGCAATTTGTACCATTGAAGACCAAGACGAAGCTTAAATACCTTGTAAGTACAAGATTAGCCAGATTTCTTGTGGAGAGTTCATGGAGGTTGTCAAGGGTATACACACCATCTTCATCTAGGTTATACATTTCCACCCATATATCCAGGAGAGCAGAGGCAGGGATCCTTTGATCTTCTGGAAATGAGCCTAAGTCCAGGTAACACTGTTTGACTATAGGTATTTCCTCCAAGGCATCTAAGCTGGTTCGGAGACGTTTAAGCAGCTCACTGTTCGAACCAAAAATAGATTCACCTTCAGACCATTTCTTCATTGTACTTCTCCATTTAAACTCAGGCTGGTTAGAGAGTGATTTGGCAACCACTTCAATGGCCAGCGGGAATCCTCCACAGCCTCTCACTACCTTCAATTATATACAGACAAATGAGCTCATTTTTTGGTTTAGAAAGAAGAAAAACAGAATTTTGAAAAAATTGAAGCCGAATTGTATATATTAAGTAATGAAAGCTCTTCACATTTGTAAGTGGCAAAATTGTTCATGGTCCAAGCTACCTCATGATTTTAGCAGATATATGACTATGTACAAATACATTCAAATCTTATGCATATGAGTTTATTGATCTACCTCGTTCACAAGATCATCTGGCACATAGAGGCTCCTGTCCTGCGGAAATGCCAAATGACGAAAAAGTTTAATTGCATCTGGATCACTCAACAATTTCAAGTTATAAGTAATTTCAAATCCCGGCAATAAAGATCTTGATGTAACCAAAATTTTGTATCCTGGTATTTGGAACTTGACATCATGAATAAGGGATTCCGATCCAAGCCATACATCATCCAAGACCAACAACATCGGCTGCTGGCCTATTTGTTCCAGCAAGTACTCTAGCTGGTTGATCGCATCATCATCACTTTGAAACTCAGGCACTGGATAACAACCGTTATGGTGAAAAAGTTTTTGAACAATGACTGTGATGCTAGGTGTTTTCGAGACATTGACAAAGAAGATGTTGGCCCCATATATATCTGTCCAAAGAAGAGCAGGCTAAAAGATTAGACACTTCTAGTGGACAATTCATTGGGACATAAACCTTGGCTTAACTTGGTTTGGTTTGGTAATGATGCAAGTGATAATTAAAGCAGCAATCATGTTTACTTTCATTACATGCCCAAGTTTAAAGAATTCGATGCTACCTTTTATTTCATTATCGCGGCAGAGCATCTTTGCCAGCGTAGTCTTCCCACACCCTCCAGGAGCCGAGAGCACAAGCACCGACACTCCATCCTTACGCAGCATCATCTTCAATTCTTGAAGCGGCACATCAAACCCAACAATAAAAGCAGGAACTCTCGGAACCCCACAAGAACCTGAAAACCCTTTTGAATAACAAACTCCTCCTCCTCCACCACCACCAACAGTCCCATTTTGCACAAGCGAAAGTACTTTATTCAATTTCTCCTCCAAATCGTTGTGACCCACTAACATCTTCTTACTATCCCTAGCCAATAGAACTTGCACATTAATTTGAAAGAACCTCAACAATGACTTGTCCAAACCTGTGAGCTTCTTATTGTATTTGACCCTCTTGTACACATCCCAGCATTTGATTGTGGAGCACTTAAGAACCAACTTTTTCCCCTCTTCGAGACGACCGGTGAAACTGTCTATTTCTTCTTTCCGAGCATCCAACAATCTGTTGAGCCTATCTATATCATCAAAAACTGGGTGTATGTCATTTAAAGTTGTTTGGAGGCAATTGAGAGTGGACTTGAAATAGATGGCTTGTTTGGTCACATATACAACAAGTTTGAGTAATTCACCAAATACAGCTCCCAAAGCAGCCCCTCCAACATTGTTACCAGCCATAGATACACCAAACAAGGTCTAACAATCAATTTGAGGGATCGATTGAAATGGGCTTTGAGATCTTTTTGTTTGTGAAACTCTGTGGAGAGTTGCAGACAAAGAAGGGTTTAAATAAATTGGCCGGCCTTGAGAGCGAAGAAGTTCCCGTGATATATCGCGGAGTTGGGTTAAGGAAGACTTTGAAAGTTAAGAGCGAAGACTTTGGAAGATGAAAAGCATTGGGTATGTCATGGTGTTGTTTCTGCCTTGATCATCTTCGTGGGCGAGCCTGAAACTTCCCAACAGATCACAACCATTAACCTCGGACGTTCACTCACAATTCACTGGCTGCTTCTTCTGCTTCAAATAAAAAAAAATTATACTTTGCCACCTTTAATTACGGCTTCTGTTATTAGTATCTCTTAAGTCTTAACTATTACATTTCCTACCTCATAACGTTAATTATAATTATTAATAGTGAAAATCGTTCAAAACTATAAATTCTGTACGTAATTTGTAAATAAGTCCAATCATGTATTTTTTAAGGTGTAATCCAAAATCTTTTTTTATATGATCCACTTTGCCTAACCGAAGCCGAACGAGTCATTGTATTTCTCATGGATAAATCAAAATCTTTTTCCATAAAAATCCAATACTATCACAACCACACACAATGAATTCAAAAATCCAATTCTTCTTCCATCCACAATATAAAATAAAACACATAGAGATTTTTAGTTCAATGCCATGTAATTCATTGTCGTGAAATTCACTGTTTTTAGTTCACTGTCGATGGTGAGTGGTGGTGGTAGTTTTAAATAACCTCCTTTATTAAAAGTACTAATCTATTTCTCATTTTTGAAGGCACAGAGTAATAAAAAAAATCAACAATAAATATATTTGTATTTACATCCAAAAACAAATTATAAAGATAGAGGATATAGAAAGAAATTTATGCACCGATTGTAGTAGTGATTATGGTGGTGGGTGGAAAATGGTGATAGGGGCGAGCGGTGGTCGTGGTGGTGGGAGGAAGACAGTGACCGCTGTGATGGGTGATGACGATCAGTTGTGATGGTGGCAGGCGTGGGGCGGCAATAGTGATTGTAGTGAGTGTGGTGGGACAGTGATAAGGTGACGACAACGGTAGTAATAGTAATGGGGATAGTAGTGTTGGAGCACTGGTGGGGTGGTGATGGTAGTGGTGGTAATGAGGTCGATGGGGGCAGTGGTAGCTGTGGAGCAGTGGGTGTGGTGGTCGTGGGGGGGGGGATAACGACAGTGGTAGTGGTGGTCGTGGTTGTTGTGACAGACGTGGTGGTGTTGTGGCGGTGACAATAGTGGTGGTGAGGTGACAATGATGGTGGTAGTAATAATAGTGGTGGGGTGGTGGTGGGGTAGTTTCAAACACTATTTTTTTTAAAAAAAAATTCTTATGAAAAATTATAAATTTTAAAAACACTTTTAAAAAAATACCTCAAACACATCCTTAGAGACCTATTTTTTCTATTAAAATTGGGATGTTTATATTAGTCCTCTGATTAATTTTAAAGTAAAATTTAAATAGATTTAAACTGCAAAAAATAAAAATTATTTTATTTATTTTTTTAAATTTGAATTGTATTGTATTTTATTATATAAATTTTTGTTAATTACATATTTTATTAATCTTTCGCCTTAAAAAGTGTTCAAGTTGAATTTCTCACTTTAAAAATGCACGACTGTAATAGTTCTTGCCAAATGTCTCTCATTAATATTATACTTTTATGATAATTAACATTAATTATAAATTGAATAAGAAATTATTGCACTCTCCGTAATGAAATGGAATGAGAAATTGTTGCACTTTACCCCATAATTTATCAAAAAAGAAATTGTAAAATCAATAACCATAATTGGCGAAATAATGTGATAAGCTTAGTACTTCAAAAGACGAAGTGAGATTAAAGCAAGTTAAGTGAAAAGAAGTGTAATTTGGTAAAAACAAATGTCATAATGACATGCCTTTAAAAAAAACAAAAAAAAACAAAAACATTACCTAACCTTAATTATTCCGGATCGCGGATAGGTTTGAGGGTCAAAGGATGTCTCTCGACTCTCGACTCTCGACTCCTGCTGGTAGGTAAGCGCGTTAATGGATGGAATTTTAACTCATCCGAATTTAATTTTGAAAAGTTTAATTTAATTATTCGATAAGTTTTATTTTCATAATTCCTATTTGACTTTGTTAATAATTTAAAATTTGATTCAATCCGTATAATTAAATTTTAATAAATTATATCTAAATTTCAACTAATTTTTTTTAATATTTATATTTATATAAAATATATATTTTTTAAATTGGATAATAATCTAATTGAATATAAATATATTTAAATTCAAATTCATTAAATATAAAATAACAAATTCAAGCTCGAAATATCGATAAACATTTTAAATCCATAATCAATTAATTAAATTCAAATTTGGATCAAAATTCAATCTATTAACAATAGATAAGTTGGCGTCGCTATAACGAACACAATTGAGGCTTTTGTGTAATTTTCATTTCTTGTGGTTCTGTACAAAGCATTTAATTTATTTAAAAAATTTTTTTAACAAATTCGATTGAAACTCGTAAAACTCAACTCAATAATTAACCCTAACCATTATCACCGCCGCACTAAAAATGTTCCACCATTAAATTTTAGAGGTGTATGGAAAACTATTATATACAAAAAAAAGTTTGTGTACTATTTCTAAACAAAGAACAAGACTGCACAATAATGTTCAAATATAAGTACTTTTCATACAAGGAAAAAGTAAATAAAGAGGAAGTGCTACTCCATTTTCTTGTCTTTCTGTTTCTTCTCTCCTGCGAAGCTTCCTACCATATTCTTCATTTTCATCAACACCTTCTCATCTATCATTTTGTAAAACATTTGAAACTTCGTCCTAAATTGCCCCTCATATTTCCTTATCTTATATTCGTACTTCACATAAATTGCAGGTACCGTCATACCCACCACAATCCCTGCAACCGCCACCACCACCACCAATCAATTAACAACCAAATTTAAAAAAAAACTCTGGACAGCAAAAAAAAAAATAGCAAAAATGCAAATGAAGTCAACTAAGTCGAGAATGTGACTCTTTGGTAAGGGATAAGACCCGTGTTGTAGAAAATAGTGTGCTAAAATAATTTTAAGTAGTAGAAAAGTAACGAATCAAAAATCGAAGAAGATAGATCGTTAAATAAGGCGCAACACTCGCTATATTCAAGATAGTAATTTCCCCACTTCTAATGTTGATGGACTCTTGAAAATTCTACTCCCAGAATATAATGCCTAACTTTAAGATTATCAAATATTGTACTCTTTAATAATCTTGAATCAAAACTCATCCTGAATAGAAAATCAGAAAATATAGAAGTTTTGAATCAAGGAAAAAAAAAATTAAATTGTTGATATTTTGTTATTGCGTTTGAACCCTATTTATAGTGTTATATGCATCTTTCAATGAAGGAATGTAACCCTTCAAAACCATGACAGAAGACACCCCTTAAAAGAGCTACAATAATATAATCGTTAGAAACTAATTTCAAACAAAATATGTGTCACGTTTGAATGAGATTGTTACGTTTGAACATACTCAATTCTTAGTATCTCAATTCTGTGATATTTTGAAATTTTTATCGAAGTATTGGGAACAAGTCACATTCGAACGTGGGTTCCATTCAAAAAAAATCGAAATCTCAGTATCTCAATTTCTATCAAAAATTGATATTTTGAAAAAGTATTGAGAGCAAAACACGTTCGAAGCATTGTTTGAGCGTTCAAACGTCGCATCTCTCTTTTTATTTCTTCTTCTTCTTTCTTTTTTTTCTTCTATATATATATTATGTTTGAGCGTTCGAATGTCGCTTCCCTCCTTTTATTTCTTCTTTTTATTTCTTTTTCTTCTTTGAGCATTTGAACGTCGTCTCCTTCCTTTTATTTCTTCTTTTTCTTCTTTCTTTTTCTTCTTATATATATATAAATTGAAGATCTCATTATGTAGGTCTTCTTTTTAAGAGGATTCCTTGAGATATTGAGTGAAGGATAAAGTTCTTCCTCTATTTATAGGAGAAGATGAATCCATGAAGAACATATCCAAGAACCAATGTGAGATTCATGTATTTGCCCTTCAACTCACATGTTCCAAATGTTTTAAAGGAAAGTAAAAATTTCACTTTCCCACCAATATCAATTTAGAAGTACTATTGTACTTTATATACACACACTAAACTTAACTCATGTTTAAAGACACGATCAAATATAAGATTCTAGCGTTAAAAAAATTGATTATACTATACCAAATTTAAAATTAATTTCTTTGCTTACCTCATTTAAAATTAATTTTTACATATTATTTTCTTAAAAATAACTTCAAAATTTTCTCAAAATGTATAACTCGATAATTTTTTTGTAACTTATGTACACTATCGTGTATGAATAATGAATAAAATAAAAATTGTGTTAAATTATAAATTAACTAAATATTAAATGATTGAACATGTGATAAAATTTCATAATATGATTTTTTTGGGGGGTAAATGTATATTTGGGGGTAAATGTATATGGAATAAATATTCAACTTGTTACTTGATTTATTATATAGATGTATTTAATGTTTATGTCAATTCATACAAATGATTTTGTACTAATAAATATTTCACTATTAGTAAATAACTATATATATATATATATATAACAACCCGACACAAAACTCAAAAATGACATAACTAATTAACACGAATAATAAATAAGTCAAATTAAAGTTAGACACGAATAATACGATTAATGAGTACTGAAAATAAAAACTTGGTATTTAACAATAACTGTAAACAAAAGATAAATTTTTAAAATTTTTTTGTTAGTATTATATGAATTGTTATAGAATTAAATAATTTTTTATTGACACAAATATAAGAATTATCGAAAGTAATGCAACACAAAAATAAAACAACAGGGCATGATTGACAACCATGCAGAATTACAAATATTTTATCCAAGATCAACTCGTGAAATTTTTTTCAAGCTCGAGCTCTGCTCAATTTGGGATCGTTTATTCAAATGAGCCTAAGTCCAAACTTGGCTAGGCTCATATTCAACGAACCAAGCTCAGAGCTCGTATTGAAGTTTTAAATCGATACCCTCATGGTCAAAATCAAACTCATAGTTGAATTCTAACTTTATAAAAATACGAGAACGATTAAGATTAATCTAATTTTATATGCTTTGAACCAATTATAAAAAATTCATCCCTCTAAAAACATCATTTTTTCTACACAACTTCAATATCAAACAATTTGACAAACAACCCACAATATCAAACAACTTGACAAACAACCCACTAATCTGCACGTACCCTCTCTTTTTCCTCCCCACTTTAACTTAAAATTAACTAAATAAAAAAAAATTACTATTAAAATATAAATGTTCCATAATTAATTAGAATGTTAGCTTACCCAAATAGAGAATTGTGAGTAGGTCACAGTAGCTTCCAAGCTGGGAAAGTACCCACAAAGCAGCTGTAGTTCCAGCAAAGACATACCACTCGCTCTCAGCACCAACCCGAAACACCAATCGAATTCCCTCTTCAATCAATTCTCCAATCGAATTCGCCAACTCCATTGCAGACTGCTCTGTAATCTCCAAACCCGACAGGTTTGGTGGATATCTGAAACCATAGAAATCCATTCCGAAAACCTCTCATTTTTTTATTAGATTACAGTTCACCAATATTATAAAAAGAAAAAAAAAATAATTTATTGAGGCCTTACTTGCCGAGAAGTCTTTGAATGTTACCCCATATAAACAGTGCAGTAACTATGGCCATGGCTACCCAAGAAACAACGGTGATGAAGTTGAATTGATAAACCTCCAGTAGCACCCATATCGTCGTTGCCACGAGCAGAACGATTATACTCAGATCTTTCTTCCTCCAAAGGAATATATCTTTCACTAAATCTGCAACAAATTATCTGTGACATGAGAGAGAGAGAGAGAGAGAGAGAGAGAGACAGAGGTTTGCTGTGGAGTGAGCTCACCTCTTGGTGCCGTAGACATGCTCAAAGATGAAAATTTCCGAAGATAGAATATTGGAAGAGAGACAGAGATGATTTTTTGCTGGTTCCTGGGAGAGAGTTTGAGTTTTTGAAAGTAGTCGGCGGAGGGACAGCAAAGAGTTGTTGACATGAAGCTAAATATGAGCTTAACACGTGCTTTCTTTAGTACCAAACGTGGAAGCCATGCATGCAAGGCCGACCTTCTATTCATGAAACTAATGTGAATTCGGATTTGATCGAATAAGGAGATTTCGATGTAAATCGATGGCCTTGATCTATAATTTCAATGTACATTTTTGTTTTGGATATATTAATATTTGATTTTGTTTGAACCTAAAATATAAAATTATAAAAATATTTGATACATGGGTTGTTTGCAAGTCTAGAATCATTAAAAAGTTATCACGTGTCAAGATTTTAAGAAAAGACGGAAAATGATCAGTCACACTTTTGATTTGAAAAAAAAATAATTGTCTAGAAGTTACAAAGTCAATCAAATGTCGATAAAGAAAAACTGTAAAAAGAAATGGCTAAAAAAGGAAGAAAAGAAGGAAATTGAAAACAACTCAAACATCCCCCAAGTAATGCTACATTGACTAAATTTTGGAATCAAATTTGGAGCCTAAATGACATGACAGCTAACTTGGATTTTTTTATGTGGTGTCATGCCATTTGGGGTCTAATAAAAACTCCCAATAATATGCTGTCATGTCTTTTGAATTTTAAATTTGGTCCCAAAATTTAGTCAGCGTAACAATTTTGTCCACAAAAAAAAACACAAACCATGATGAGGGCATTTACTTTGTTAGTAGATTTCTAGTTAACTCCTCTTCTTATTGATCCAAAAAAAAATTCAACTTGAGTTCTTTTGATGGCAAAACCAACCGTAGCGTACTTTACACATGATTGTACCCCAAATCCGTTTTGAGTAGTGGTAAAATTAGTTTTAAGAAATAGTTAGTGATGTAATTAAATGTTGTTAATTCAGTCTCTCAGTAACTGAAATTTTTTCGATTGAATTAATAAAATAATTTATTTTTATTGATTCATTATTCTATGTGTTAATCGCTTTAAGAATTCATCCAAAGAAGTTTTGAAACAAAACATTTGAACCCATCTACAAACAATCACTTGAAGAAATTCATCCAAGGAAGCCTTGAAACAAAACATTTGAATCCATCTACAAACAATCACTTAAGAATTATATGTCGATTGAGGCGATTCAATCAATTGCAACAGATTTTGGAGCAATAGCTTCATAGCAATGAAACAAATCAAATTTGTTTGAGTTATGATAGATCTTATCTTTGTGTGGTAAATGGTTGGAGTAGCAAACTCTCTTGGGCATGGCTTTACTGCCCAAAAGGTGCAATTAGTAAAACGAGTGATCCGCTTGTTTATATAATCCAAAATTCTCTTATTACTAATAGATGTGAGAGTCATTTTACACCTTAACAAACTCAAATTCAATAAAAATCTCATTTTTCGATAAGGGAAATTAGCCCAAAAATTAAATAGGGCTCAAGACACTATCAAGTGTTAATTGCTGACTTAATTATTTGTTTATACTTTAATTCCAATAAATATTTTAATCACAAAAGAAAAAAGAGTGGATTACATGGTGTTCCTAATGTATCAAACACACAAGGTGTTTTCTTTAAGTGCCCTTTGGAGATTGGTCTTTTTTTTTTAAACTTATTTGAACTTAAGTCTACTCAAAAAATTTGTTTGAGAATGAGTTCATTTTGATCTTCATTGTCTAAAATACCCTCAATAATTATATTTAATCAAAGTTTGTTTGAAAAAACTAACTCCTAACTCCTAACTCTTAAATTATATTAATATTAACAACTCCAAACTTGAGAATTGTACTACTGTTAAAATTATTTTTCTATCCTATCTATCTATTTAACATCAAAGCAGTAACATCAAAGTAGTAACACGTTCAATAAAAAAATTAATTTAAAACTTAATTATTGCCGTATAGTGACATTGTGTGAGCAATGCTATTGAGGCCTAATTTATTAACCTAATTCATTATGATATTTAGATTAACTGTGGGTTTCATAAAACATTAAAATTTGATGTTGATCCAATGATTTCACTGAAGTCACATCATTATGTTAGCAAATTAGGTTAGATTTTTAGATTCAAATATGATTACTTTTTGAAATGTGTACTTAATGACAATAATTTGATGAAAAATAAGATTTAATGGAGTATAAGTTTGACTGTGATATTTAAAGTCAAATAAGTTCTACCAAAAAAAAAAAAAAAAGTACCTACAGTTAAATATTCGGTTTTTAATGTACATTAATATTAGAAAGAATGGGCTAACCACCGATGGACCAATTGTTTGATTTTGGGCCATCGATAAGTTCTGAATGTCGTATCTGTTGTATAATGACCGTCTGAAATTAAGAATTCATGGGCCAGAAAGCCACTGAGGCTTGAGTTCAAATGAACTTCAACAGGCAATTTGAAATTGGACTTGGGCCTTGATATAATCGAAAAATTGAAGCCAATTTGGAATTGAAGGCAGTAATCACAATTGAAACAGCACTGACTACAAAATGGAAATGGCTATGTAACCTATACTGGCTTGAGTCTCCACATTGGCCTTTAAAGCCCAGCCTTGAGCGTGTTTAAGAGTAATTTTCGACACGACGCGACCAGAGAAGAAGTTAGTATGTTAAAGGTGATTAATTTTTAACAGATTAAAAAATAAAAAGACATGTTAATACGAAATATAAATAAATCGAGTTGTTAGAGTATATGTGGCTCATATTTGCTGTGTGCATAATGGCAATGAGGCAGATGCCGAAGCGGGATTTATATAAAGGGGACGCTGATTAGTTGGGGGTGCGGGGGCGTTGCCCCCGCGGTACGGTACAGGGGTATTTTTGTAAATACGTTCATATTAGGGTTATATAAATACTTAAGATGTAACCCTATTCAATAATGGAAAAGAACGGCCGCTCGCTCTCGTGGATGTAGGCACATTGCCGAACCACGTAAATCTCTGTGTGTTATTTTCTCCTGCTTTCTTAATTGTTTGATTCCTTACTATTCACCATAATTGCTGCACGATCACAACAATTGGTATTAGAGCTAGACTACGATGTCTGGGATTTCCTCTACAAAATTCGACATCATGAAGTTCGACGGAACTGGGAATTTCGGATTATGGCAGAGGAGGGTGAAGGACCTGTTAGTGCAGCAGGGCATGGTGAAGGCATTATACGGAAAACAATCGGCAAGAATGGACGACATGGATTGGAAATAATTGGAAGTGAAGGCTGTGGCGACTATTAGGCTTTGTCTGGCTGATGAAGTGATGTATCACGTCATGGATGAGGAATCACCGGCGGAAGTTTGGTTGAAACTGAAAAGTCGGTATATGTCCAAGTCGTTGACGAACAAGCTCTATCTTAAGCAGAAATTATATGGTCTTAAGATGTCAGAGGGCTCGGATTTGACCCAACACATCAACGTGTTCAATCAGATCATCAGCGATCTGAAGCGAGTTGATGTGAAGTTCGAAGACGAAGACAAGGCGCTGATGTTGTTGAATTCCTTACCGGCGTCTCATACGTACGAGAATTTGGTTACGACTCTGATGTGGGGGAAAGAAACCCTCAAATTGGAGGATGTCACAGGTGCACTGTTAGGTTTTCATCAGCGGAAGAAAGCCAGTGATGAGGCTTCACAAGGTGAAGGGCTTGTGGTGAAGGGTAACCAGGAACGTGGAAGAAGCAAATCTCGGAATGGATCGGGTAACAATAAAGCCCGGTCCAAGTCGAGGAAGAAGAAGAAGGACGTCTCTGTCTTGTGTTACAAGTGCGGGAAAAAGGGGCACTTTAAACGGGACTGTCCAGAGAAAAAGAAAGGGGATTCAGAGAACAAAGAGGGTGCATCAAAGTCTGTAAACGTAGTGGAAGAAGAAGATTCAGAGAGTGGTGACGGAGATATGCTTTCTGTTTTATCTAGTTCAGATCGTTTAACAGATTCTTGGATTATGGATTCAGCATGTTCCTATCACATGACACCCAACAAAGATTGGTTTGACACCTACAGGTCAGTAAATTCTGGTTCTGTTCTGATGGGTAATGATGCATCTTGCAAAGTTGTTGGAATAGGAAATATTAGAATTAAGATGTTTGATGGTATGGTTAGAACGTTGTGTGATGTTAGACATGTACCGGATCTAAAGAAGAATTTGATTTCATTGGGCACTTTGAATTGTAATGGTTATAGTTACAAGTCTATAAGTGGAGTAATGAAAGTAAGTAAAGGCATGCTGACAGTGATGAAGGGACAGAAAGTAGTAGGAAACATTTACAGACTGCTGGGTACTACAATTATAGGTGGAGTTGCTGCTGTAGAGTCTGAATCAGATAATACAGTCTTGTGGCATATGCGGCTGGGTCATATGAGTGAGCGTGGGATGATAGAGCTTCATAAGAAAAATCTATTGAAGGGTGTCAAGACATGCAAGCTCAATTTTTGCAAATATTGTGTTTTTGGAAAACAGAATAGGGTGCAGTTCAAGACAGCCACACACAAGACAGAGGGGGTTCTCGACTATGTTCATACAGATGTTTGGGGACCAGTTAGCGTACTATCACGGCGAGGATACATGTATTTCGTGAGTTTCATTGATGATTACTCATGAAAGGTCTGGGTGTACTTCATGCGGCACAAGTCATAAGCGTTTGTCAAGTTCAAGCTGTAGAAAGCTGAAGTAGAGAACCAGACAGGGAGGAAGATTAAATGTCTCAGGTCAGATAATGGTACTGAGTACACAGATTCAAAGTTCCAGGAGTTGTGTGAACAGCATGGGATCAAGAGACACTTCACAGTCCGCAAGACACCACAACAAAATGGTGTAGCGGAAAGGATGAACAGAACGATAGCCGAGAAAGCTCGGTGTCTCAGGTTGAATGCAGGGCTTGCAAAGAATTTATGGGCAAAGGCAGTGAATATGGCATGTTTCTTGAT